CTTTTTTTTTGCTTTTTGATGGTAAGTTATGGTTCTTCTACAAAACTTAGCTGACATCAGAGTATGGTGTATTGGATTATCAGTTCCATTAATAATGAGAACTATAATGAAGATGATCTAATCAGCAATGCACCAACCCATGGACTCACTGGGTCTGGACCCAGGGTCCGAGCAACACTTTAAAAATGTTACTGTTGATTTCAGTATTGTGTTTGAATTGGGTAGTAAGGTCTTTAATTGACAGAATGACTTGATGTTTCATATACTTATTAATTAGATAACTTAAAACAATGGATAACTAGAAAACTAGAAAACAACAATGGATGTCAACTTATGTGTTTTGTCCCACCCATTGGGTTTTTCCTCTTGCCTCGTTTAAAGCAAATCACCAAGAGGGAAGGAAGCAAAGGTGGCAAATTTCCAGAACCTCAAGGTCTAGGGGGCCTCATAAAGCTATAAATTCCATTTTAAGAATAGAATTAATTAAACGAAGCAAAAAGTTGCCTAAAAATACTGAAACGCTCTAAACGATTGCAAGAAATGACTGCAAGAAATTTTCTGAAATGCATTTTAAGCTTATCTGAAGGGTGTGGTTGCAGAAAATTTTTGCTTGTGCTGCTCACAGGGGGAACCTCTTTTATGTTGTTGCTCCAGATCCTCAGAAACCACTCAGCAACCCCAAGATGTCAATTCTTGTATGTTATATTGCGGGTTACAAAATAAGTCAAACTTGTTTATCAGTGACAAGCACAATTTTCTCACCTGTTGTTGCAAAAGGGCATTTTCCAAAGTTTCCAAGGGTGTAACCTCTGACCCCTTTACCATCTCTGCCCCTTCATCATCCACACCACTATTTTAGGACTGGCAAAACCCCTGTTTTCACTACATAAACTCACACATTGCTAGCTGCAGATTCACCAATTCATATAGGCCCAACTGTGCCTACAATAATTACAAAAGTTGAGTCGAAAAATTTAAGGGATAAAAATGTCAGAACTAATGACTTCACTTGTTGTTTACTAAAACCTCGCTGTTTTGCTATTATCCTCAATAAAAATTTTTGAAATCTTTTGAAATGACTCTTGAACTTTTAAACTGTATAATTTTTTATAATTGTTAATGTTATAAGTTATAAAATTCTTATAACTATACAATTTCTTATAATTGTTATGGTTTTAAGTTATAAAATTTGCAAAACTATTTTGGATGCCATTTTAATTTTGATGCTGCAATACTTTTTTCCTGGTAGTTTAGAGGCTTATTGAAATAAAAGAGGGGGGAAAAAGTTTTGTCACAATGAGAATTGATCAGGGTCAAGAACAGCATTAGACAAGTGGTCTTGTCAGAAATTGTACCAGACAATTTACATAAACAAACAGTAAATTTGAGTTGATGATACTATAACTTAAAACGACTTTAATTCATCAATATTTTTTACTATTTGGTCAATGGATCAATTGGAAGGTTGATACTTTGAAAATTTTCTGTAAGTATCTAAGAACAATAACTAAGTTCAGGCTCTTAAATAAAAAGATAAATGCATATTCAAAACAATCTTGCCACAAATGAATTAATGACTTGCATAAATTAATATAAAACCTTAGTGATGGAGCATAAGAAGAACATTTTCATTTTATTTTCCCGATTTAGTAAATATTTGCTATATGTAAAGACACATTTCAAATATTATATAATCTAGTAATCAATTATTTCTGTCACTGTCTCAAAACTAGATAATACACAAAAAAGACGAAACAGTTTTTTTCAAAATCGCTAAACTTGGGGTTCAATTTGGGATAACATTTTGACTAACATATTCCTGTCTCTTTACTTTTGTTGCACAAAAATCCATGCTCAAAAATAAACTCTGTATTTAAGCACCTTTGAAGATAAAAATTCAGACTGGATATATGTAAATGCTAAGTCATGTCCTCTTTGGTAATATAACCTTTAGGATGCTTTGTACAAAACACTAATCTGGGGCCTTAAACCATGACCAAGGTTGGTAGGTCACTACACGTGCACAGTACTAGAGCTATTTGGAAAAATGCCACCAAAAATTTGAAGAAAGAAGCTAGATGAAAGAAAATTTGGGAAATATTCTCAGAATGTGCAAAAATGTTCACTATTCTATGCATTAACTTTATTGAAATTTACTGAAATATTATTTGATTGCTCTATATTTTAGAAATGCATGTTTTTTTGCCTTTTTTGCATAAAGTTCACTTTTATGAATTCCTTATGTTGAACCGGGAAGCAATCATCATAGAAGTGGCCAGTGGAGATGCTTTGTGCTCTTAATTTTCATTTCATTTCATTTCAAATGTTTAGGTAGCCTTTCAGCAATGCTGATCTTCAAGGGGCCCTCCACTTAAAATACTAAATTATTATAAAAAACAAATTATGCTAATAACAATTCAATATTTACAATTAAAAAAAATCCTATTTTAACTTGAGTTTAATTTTACTACAAATATCTATAACGAAAGGCGATATGGTAATTTCCAATATACAATTTACAATTACGCCTATTTACAGTTTCACAAAAAGTTGGTCAAGGAAGATGCCTGTTTACACTCAGCTGAAAGGCCATTCCAAGACCTAGCACCTCTAAATGAGAAGCATTTCTGTCCATTTTTGGAGATTTTCTTTTGTAGCCTTAGGTCAGTTGATGTATTCCTAAGATTCCTAGAATTTAACTTGGATGTCTCTGTGAAAAGATCACACATGCATTGTTAAGCCAGTCCATGAAATGATTTGAATCCTTGTCAACAGTGAGCCAAACCATCAAAAAAACTTTTTTTGACTGTTGGGTCCTACAGTTTTCACAATATTTAAAAAGTTCCAAAATTTTAATGCAAAAGGCTATCAGAAAGTGCCAAAAGGAGAACTTAGGTGTAAAAATACCAATGTGCCTACCCTGGCCAAAAAAAGGAAAGATGGGAAGAAAAAAGAAAAAACCCAAATATGAGGTTGGGGCAATAATGAGAGCAACATTCAGAGGGCACAAAGAACCGAAACATCCAAAACAAATTGGGAGTCACTAAATTAAGAGAAGCTCAACAGAAAATAGAGCAATGAAACAATGTTGGATAAATATGTCATCAAGTCCTTAAAATTATTGCATTTGCTAGTTAGTATTTGATTTTTGAATATGCTAGAATTCAATGTATTGTGGAGGTCCAAACCCAGATAATATACATTTCTTGACAATTTTATTATACCTGGCACGCTTTGTGAATCATGCTCTTATGTTAAAAGAGTGACTGTGAAGACTGAGGTGGATATAGATTCTGCAAGGCAGTGTCTATATACTTTGCCGTGAAAAATTCTCACAATTTCAATTATATAGTCTAAACAATTGAAAAAAATCGCGTCTTTCTTCCAGTCCTGTCAGGATATCAACTTTGTATACGTTAAAGCAAGTCCAGGTCTCACACTAAGTAAATAAAGATTTTTTTATTATTTAGTAATTTTCTCTGTGTTTATTTGAGTCTTATTCAAGACACTTCGATGAAAACGACTTTATGTTGTGAATAAAGGGCACAGAGTTTCATTTTTTCTTTTGGTGGGGTGCCTCCATAAGAAAATGGTGACCTCCAAAAGAGGATTTTTTCTATGAAAAAGTGTGCCACGGAACCTCAAAATCTCACTGAAAAAGGTTGGGAAGGGCTTGCAAAATAACAAAAAATGTGTAAAATTAAATTTGATACTGTTTTGAAACTTTAAGACTTATGGAATAAGCAATATTAGCTTTAAAACATAGTTATTGTCATTAGTATTTATTTTTGGGAAGACGAGTGTAAATTTCTATTGTTTACGGCTATCATTCTATCCATTTGTTTGAACTAATGAGAAAGTGCATCATTTGGGCATGCGCATTAGGGTGAAGACAAAATTTTGTGGCCGTTTGAAGCGTTTCATCAAAACTAAATATAATAGTTGCATCATATAAACCAGTGTTTTCTTCCCCATCTTCTCTTGACTCTCTTTTCTCTAAATTTTATTCGCCTTTTTATTCGAGATTGGCTTATTCTCATAAGTGTTACAAATGTTTCTACCGGATTGTATATAATGCGACGTGAAAATAATAACTTTGACTTTAATTGCGCATGTGCATATAATGCAAGATTTTGAAAAGCCAACCGAACTTCAGACAAATGCTGGTGCGTCTCCAAAACAATTTAAGAGTTTAGATTGTTATAAAGGTGGCTCTGTGGTTAGAATCGCAGGCTACAAATCCAAGGGTCTGGGGTTCAAGTCTTTGCCGTGACCAAACATTAATAAATCTGAGGGGAGTCTCTGGCTATGCCATTTCGTCGTGGGTTTGTCAAGGCAAGACCAAATTCAGGACCATGTTTACTTAGCATTCTCACTGTTTTAAAATTTACCTACAGAAAGAAGATAAATACAAATGCAACTACAAAATTTCCTATACCACCTGTTCGGAAACTGAGCTAAAACTTGTAGGGGTAGCTGTGAATTCAGGATTTGTTCCAAATTAAAAATTTTACGATCATATCTGTTGAAAAATGAAAAAAAACATTCGTAAATACCTGAAAGAATTGCTATGTCTAAAAATGTGGTAAAACCTTTCATTTGATAAATATCTCATGCTGTTTGGGAGTAAACGATTAACAGTTATTTTGTGTTTGTCGTCCTCATGATAAGAATCCTCGCTATAGAAATTATAAACGTTGAGCGAGCTCACGACATACAATTATTAGTACAATTAATTGTAGTACAATTATACTAATAAGTACTAATAAGTACAAATTATACTAATGTAGTACTAATAAGTACAATTATTAGATAATGCATATTAGTGAACGATATCATAGCCTGCTATATCACACTGAGATTGCTTGCTAAAGAATGTATGATTTTTGTTTTAGTGTGCAAGGCCAAGCGTTAATTGGACGGTCGATGATATGAAGCACTGCTCCTTATGTAGGGATAACTGTCCAGGCTACGCACCGTTTTCTTGGCGGTAAGTCTGTTTGTGTGTAAATAGTTCATCGTAGAATTAAATTTGTTTCTACATACTTTACTGTATCATTTTTTTGGTACCTTGAAAGGTTTTTGCTACTAAAAAGCGTTCTTGTGCTGTATCAGGGAATTTATCATAACCTTTTACAGTTTTTGCAGTCTCTGTATGTTCTGTAGTGCATCACGTGTTCCAAAACAACCTATCAGTCCTTAAGTCACGCAGTCAGTCATCTGTAGGGTACAAACCATGTTTGGATATTATCTCGGGAGATGCAAACTCTCCGTTCTTTGCCTACCTAAGTGCTACGTATTTATCATGCCATTCTTCTCTTTTTTCTCCACCATTTACTCAACTTAGCAAATTGTGAGGTCACAAGTGTTTTTTTCTGCATTTCAAATCGTTGAGGACGGCTAGTGAATGCTAACTGATCCAATGCTAACTGATCCTCGTTTTGCAGGCTTCATAAAGGGACCGTCGTTTGCATTTTTGTTCTTGGTTTTCGAGGGGCCTATTTAATTTGCTTCTTGTTCATTTTACTTTAGTCGAAGTTGACAAGGGTTTCATTGTTGGAGCTAAGGACGTAACCAATCTCTAAATGTTTTATTCGACCTGGTAGACTTTGGCTCCACATCTATGCTTTGAGTTCTAGCTTTAGGTATAATAAACTTACGCAATGACTGTCTAATGAACTTATTTCTTTTGTTCATTCGCGAGACCACCATTAAGTTTTCTCTTTATCCGCTTAAACTGTGCATCCCACTATAAATCGTCGTCAGTTATAATTCCCAGGGATTTTTTCGGTTCTCTTCATGCCAGCTTTGTTTAGTGTGTGTTTATTTGGAAATTTTTAATTGTTTATTTTCTGGGGATACTCTGGCACAATGAGTATGGTTTGATTAAACCCGACATTCACCCAGAAGGATTCAACAGCTCGTGCTTTGCATTACACGATGGCATTTTTTAAATGATATGAGGCTTTATGGCTATTGGCAGCATTTTCTCTAGCTAGATATCTCATTCAAAGTCTTTTGAATGTCAACCTTATCTATACCTTAGTTAACTATGTCTATACGAAACCTCGGATGACTGCGAAAGAATCCTACAAGTCATTTGCCTTTTTCCTAACCTTTTTTAGCTTTTCTGCTGCATTTAGCTTCACAAAAGCCAGGTTTCCTTTTTTTCTTATTTAAATGCTGCGTCTATCTTCAATATTTTGACAAGCTTCAAATGTATATATTGGCCAAGTTTCTTGATATTGATAAGGCAAGATGTTCCAGTATATGCGAATTACAAGAAATGTATTTCTCGGTTTTTTTATATTTCAATGATGTAATTGTCCAAGCTATATCTTGGTGGCTACTCATTTTTATGTCAACTAAGGTTGAAATGTTAGCAAAAAGGTGTCAGGTAAACTTCGGTCATATGCATGCAGCACACATTGAAAACCAGACGTATGCTACTTTGTTTACAGAAATTGGTGTTAACTTGAATCTGCCTTTTGTCAGGTGCTGTTTATTCAATCTTCTCTCAGTAGATAATAAATCCCCCAACTTTATAAATACCACTCCCTCCTGTTGTGTTCCATAAAACCTGTTGTAAAATGTTAGGTTTTGTTTCTTTCGAAGGAGCTTACTTAATGCGCGTGTGTTAATTGATAATCATTGAGGCAGGGATGGATCGGTCATGCTGTTAGAAACAAAGATTGCAGTTCTTGCTTTGAATATGATTCATCCTTCTTTGCATGTTGTTATCGTTGAAAACACGAAAATGCTTTGGCGTTCAAAGATACAGAGATCATTTGTTCTGCCTTAGTCATAATTCGTCTTATCCGATCAGATAAAGTCCTCGCAAAAACTCACTTACGGAATTTACAAGTTTCTCATAAACAGTTGTAGATGCCATATTTGTAAGCTGTTTACTTATAATTGGCAGATTTCTGGCTAATAGTTTTTATCAAGTAAGGTGTTTTCTTCAAAGTCTTGGGAGCCACTTAAAAACACCTGTCACCTATACCCTCGCAACTACGAAAAACAAGTTAAGGTAATTTTGGTTTCTTTGATTGGTGCTGTGATGTGTAAGATGCAAGTCGCTTTTAGCTGGAAGAAGCCACAGCAAGGAGCTATTACTTCCAATGGTGATTTGTTTTTCTTAAAGAAGAACAAACGTTGTCGCAGCAAGCCTCTTTATAGCAAACGCAACCTGTAGTTGGGCGTGTTTTGCAGGAAACCATTCTGTTGTTCGGAACTTCCGACCTGTTCTTTGATAACGATGAGTCTGTGTTGCAGCTGATTAGAAATTAAAATAGGTTAATTTTGTTTAAATGTTATAGTGAAACGCATCTTGTCTATGCAGAGAAAAATCGCCTCTTTGTCTCCACGAATTGATAAAATAAGATTGACAAATTTGGAATATCCTTCCGATGTTACTGAGATAGAAGAAACAGTACCAAGTTGTACCTATATGCAACCTTAAAATGGGCAGCGTAGATGGTGCTTGTGTCTCAGGTTATGTCTCAGGTCATATTTTTTGGGAAATTAACATGACGATACTGATTCTTTTGGTTATTTGTTGCTCGATGTCCGTCAAAATGACGTCATCATGCACATTTGTATTGTTGTGCTCTTGCTGTTGCCCGTCGTTTTTGGCAGTACGTTTGCAAACCTACTTTTCCAACCCATTTTTGGTATTCATTTCACATTAAGCAACTTCGAAAGCATTTTATGTAGCCCTTGCTTGATAAAAGTGAATGTAGGCTTTGCGAATAGACATTCGTTTTGGTACCTTTCTGTTTTTCATAATTGGCATACTTTTGCAAAAAACATTAATTTTTTTGGTCTTCCTAGATCTCTTCATGGGTTTTCTAGGTCTTTACGCTAGTGCAGTAGTCTAGAATCTCCAAACCACACACTATCTTGTCCTGTAAATATTGAAATTAATATTAGACGCAGAATTGAAATGCCGGTGATATTGATATTAGGTGCAGTTTTGAGTTGCTGCGCGTCTAATATTAATACTCCGTCAGCCAATTAAGGTGTTTTCGTCCAGATAATAAGGCTTTACGACAAGACGGGGAAAATCTTTATCAAAAGACTTTCAAAAGAGATCGTACCCGCATACAGTTTTATAGCTGGAAAATTGCGCCAAACGCTTTAATCTGTTCTTATGAGGCTCCGTTTTATTCTGATGCCGGATTCGATAATTTACACGAGAAATGGCAATATAGGATTGATATCATCCTATTTCAAGGGTGTTATTCTATATTAATAGGACACTTGTAAACTGAAGGCCGATCCAGTTTGCTGCAAATCTGATATGGGAAACGCTATCATGAAAACGAGGCTTTATTTTTACGAAATATGAACAAAGAAACCGCTACGGATGTTAACGTTCGGAGAGAGGGTGTAGAAGGTTTTCGCGGAGTGATATTTCCTTCGAAAATACCCGTATGGAATTTTCAATCAGAGTTCTATACTGATATGATAATCAATTGGCCATTGCAAACCCATTCGATCTCACGTAATCGAGTTGGCTCACTGTTATTGTTTTTAGGGATGGTCTAAGAACGTTTATATATACAACTTTTATGGATCTTAGACATACGGGCACCCGGTTCAAGACATACGGGCACGGGGCCAGTTCGATAATTTTGGATTGAAATTTCGCGCAAGTTGATATTTTTAGTCGAAACACTTGTACAATAGCATATTTCTGGATCCTAAAAAATAGACAATTATAATTCTGATATTCTGATAACAAGTGCCCCTTCCCTCTTAAATTTCTTTATGCCTTGAAAAATGATGATTTTAGCTGTGAGTCGTTATATCTCTCTCCACGATCTTTATGTATGTTTTAACCGAAGTCTTCTCTGTCCGGTGTTTGGGATTGTAGAACAGGTTGTTGATTTTGCAAGATCAAAATATGAATCAATCAACTCTCTTTTTGTGAGTTTAGGGAATATTTTAGTTTCAGAACGAGGATTAAATCCTTCAACTAAGTTGATTAAAGTGGCAAGCTTGTTAAGAATGTTTGATAATGCTCACTGTTCCTATGAATGTTCGAACAACAACCTGAAATGCCAACTCTATGGGCCCTTTGTCTTACTAATCGCCCTTATAGTTCTTCGAATATTTTCGTTTCATCTATTATTCCTCATCCCTTGACGTTTGCGCAGTAATCTACAAAAGAAGCCTTTTGAAGAAAAGCGGTAGTGACCACAAAGCGAGTATAAATCAGCAACCATATTAGCTCTCGTAATACTGCCCAGTATTATGGATGAAATCAGCTTCAAGAATTTATCGACGAACAATTTCTGATGAAGACGGACAAATATTTTCTCAAATGTTCGCAGTTCAAGTGTTGTTATAACAAATCCTTGATAACAGAGTGAAATTTGGAAATTTTGCCAAGCTGATCGAGTATACAATCTTGTTTTTGTCACGTCGAGAGTACTGAGGTAATTTTAGACTTGTTCTGACCTGATTCAACCCTTCTGGGAGCGCCAGAAATAGCCAAAGTTAGCGATAATTCATTTTTTGCTTATTCCTTTGTATTGCGACATTTTATGTATCGTGTTTAATGATTAGGGACGTTGTTTATAGTTGAATTTCTTGGATATCAGTAGAATGCAGCAAGTACTTTAGGCTTGCTCGAATTATCAAGGCGAAAAATCGAGCACCTGCTCCTGCAGGATTTGGCTAGAGCCTTAGCATAAGCTAGGTAAACCAAAATGTTTGATAGTCTCAAACAAGGACTTCGGCCTAGTTTACATTGAAAACAAACAAAGTTGTTTTTCGTGGAGGCTTTGAACGCATATTTTGATCCTCTTTTCCACTACCCAAGATCTTATTAAGAAAAAGCTTTGTTTCAAAAATTGCTAGAAAGTATGTATTATGTGCCGATACCATCACGCAACGTTGCTGTGGACGGTGACAACAACTATTATGGTGGACAAATAATCTTAGATTTTTTTCCAAGTGTGAGAAACTCTAGGTTACGATGAAAGATTTTGCAAGCTTTTCTTCTGGTCAGAATTTTGAAGTCAATGAAAGTATTCAAAATGAAAATGATTTGAACTTTCTTTTACATTAAAGGTTGTGTTTTTTTATTGCCTCGGTGTAAGTGGTGTAACATGACAAGTATTGTTTCCTAGTTATTTGCAATACCATTTCACTTTAAACGCGATCTGCACGTCAAACATTCAAGAGTATATCAATTCTGTGCGATAGCAAGTACTGTTTGCTATTGTCTCAATATCATTTTATGTTTTTATTGAGCGAAAGCTTGTAAAATATAGCTTGGACGTAAAATTTGCGAGGTATAACTGCATAGTCTTTTGAGAATATTTGCTAAGAATTGCTAAGAATATATACACTGTTGTTAGGTCTAACTGCGGACATGTTTTGGGGATTCTGTCTATAAACATAGATCGGAAATGTTTAATAAAAAGGGACACTTGCAAAAGGGCATTTCATTTGCAAAAGAACTTCTGGATTAATTAGATTAGGAAACCTTAGTCCTCACTTAACCGCATTGAAATCTACTGTTTTCATATACTCAGAGATACTAGAGGTCTTTTTATCTCAGGTACTTTTTCATTTTTTCAATTCATAAATAGTTCAGTGGAAATCCTTGTATAAATTTGCTCAATGCATACACATCCGCTGTCTTTTAGAATTAAGACCCTTTCAATTTTGCTTCTTTTGTTTCAATTCTTATAGAGAAGCTTCAAAACCACTCTACTGCATAATTTTCGGACATGTTTTCCCAAGTACTGAGATGGATTTAATTTCGCTGCATTTTGTTTTTTTTTAAAAAGTCACTTGTGAATGCAATAAAGCGTTATCTCAAACTGCATTCCATTTTGTAAACGGCTAGAGAATTGTTTGTATGAAGTCACGTTAGTTTCGATCCCAGTCCCTGCGCATGCTCTATCCTTGAGTAAACAATGTCAGTTGTGCCCTTGCGAGAGAAATAACAGTTTCTCTAAAGTGACTGGACTGCTTTCTGTAATTTCATTAAGTGCTACTTTGAGTTAACGCTGATACTTTAAGGGCAAGACCATGACAAAAAATATCAGAATTTTTCAACATTTGTCGCCGTTTTGTTTTGTGAGCTTTTGGTCATACGAACTTTCCCGATGAAGGGAGAGTAGCCACTGCGGCTGTTTCCCATGCTATTGTATATAGAAGCATTTAGAAGGCGATTTGCGCCCTCAAGACGACCATATTTGCTACCACCTTTAGCTAGGATTATAAGCTGCTGGACAAAGCTATTTCTAAAACCTTCACTGTCTGGTCGGGTGAGCCTGAGCAAATTAAATGTTTCGTTATATATTTTTTAACAAAGCTAATATTTCTTGAACTTGCTACTTAGGTTATGCTTCTTTCAAAGTAGATAAAACAAAGCGCGATTTTTTCTATATAAATATGTTCTTATTTACGTATTGAAACTTTAAAAAAACAGATCACAAATCCATGTAAGGCACAATATGACCTCATTAAAACAACCTCATCAGCGCAAGTTGTGTCTGGGTTTTCCACCCATTCCATATTGAAGACTTTATATAATCGATTTCCATTCTGTTTATCTCGGACCTGAAAGGCTTCTTAGTAAGGGGTAGCTGTAAACTATGGCTTTTTATCGATGACAAGCATTCTACATAGGAACATCGACAAATTAGAGCACAAAAATACATGAATTTTTAAACAAATATGAATCTTTGGGAAATGGAATTATTCCGCTTAAAGACAATCCTTTATAAGAAGTTTAATTCGCTCAATGCGTTCCACCCAATTCCTTTCTTTCAATAGGCTCTTATATCCAATATTCGATAGTCTTTGGCGGCAGTGCATGACAAATGAGGACTGGCTGCGTATTGATTTTCAAGTGATTGCCTTGATTTATTGCAATATTTGGTCTCGAAAAACAAACTTAGCAGACCATATCTAAGATTGCCTACCGAGCAGTCGAAGCCCAACGACCCAACTGCTTAATTATTGATTTGTTCCTAATTTGAACAAACGTTTTCCTGGCGGCAGTTCAGCCATCCAACCTTCGCCTGATATGCCATACGCGAATTTCGGAGGTTCAAGTAATCTAGGGCTTATACCGAACGTTTGGCAGTACACAACGGTTCTCTTCCACAAGAATACCACCATAATAACAATTTTTACACCATAACATTCTTCAAACCTCCCATTAAGTCCATGCCCTGACAATCGTTTTCATCTGATATTTTGTTTTGATCATGCAGCGAATTACCTTGTGATTTATTTTTATTTGCGTTGTTGTACGAAAATGTAATCAACCAAGCCGAAAGAAATCAATAAAGAAGTTTTATCAAGGCTTGACTGCCCATACGTAAAGTCATATTGGGTGGGCCTGACACAGCGTCAAATGAAATATTCTATATTTTCATATATTTTTGCACTTTAGTACAAGAACCATTGATGTAATGAAAAAATCAACGATCCGGTAAGGCCAAATAAGTGGGAAAGTTTTGCTGTGACGCAAACTACACATCTTTCAAATGTTTTCATTTTATTGGTGTTATGAAGGCCAACAAGGGAAATTTCCTCGTTAAAGTCAGCAGTGATTCTAGCCGTTGCTCTTCATTTCTGGTCCCTCTTGATTTGTGAATATCAATAATTCCTCAAAACCTGGTATGATGTCAAATGGCTAGTGTAATTCCCCTTCCCCTGGTATTGCAAGTAACTTAAAGTTAGACATAGAACATACGTCCTTATGATTTTTTGCTTCATTAGCAATATTAAGTTTTTTAGTCTTAGTCAATGTACGGTCTGCAATTTGTATCTGACTTCGTAAATAATTAGGAGCAATCAATAATTAGGAGCATTCAATCTAGGGAAAGGTTGACTTATTTCAACGAATTCAAAACATGCTTCATGCTTACAGTTTGGAAAATTGTGCAAGTGCTATTAAAAAGAAAAAATTGCGTCTCAATCACTGACGGCATGTTGTGCTTTTAAATTGTGTTATTCATTGTGGCTACCAACAAAACCCAAAGAAATTGATAAATAGAAAATGGTTGCCATGGTTCCAGTTTATAGAATCCCTGACCACATGATAAAGTACTTGTTTCCTCGTGTTGATGGCTTGGTCAAATCACTTCGAGGCTCCCCTGCTTTTTGTATGCCATTTCGGATAAAAGCTAGCAATGCTGTTTTGCATTGGCTATCGAAAGGGCCTGTTCAATACTACCGATTTACTGGATAGCATTTTTTAGACTTGCTGAAAAGCTACCAATTGCTGATCTTTGTAAGTTGCAAAGCGTTCTATGTATTTTCTTCTTCTGTCATACTAAAAGTTTCGCTTGGAAATTTATTTAACTATGTATTATTATTACTAAACAGCTTTGAAGCAATTTTTGTATCCATTATAACCAGGGAATTATTTGATTGCGAAATTATGTCGAAATATTTGTTCGTAAAAACCCTTGAGATATTTATATGATGCAACTTGTTCATCCATTAAATTGATGTTAGTTGATTCCTAAGGATGTCCACGATTTTAGAAAATTTTCTCAGATTGTCATTGTTAAGTCAGTTAGTCAATAATAATGAAAAACCGATGGAACTTTTACAAGAAATTTACTCTCTTTACATTATATTGCTTACTCTCTTTATTCCTTTTACTTCTTGATGACACCAAACTGCAGAACTTAACAACAGACAACCTACAAAGTTGTCTACTTCCAGACTTTGCGATTTTTCTGTACCACATATTAATTGGGATTTTCTGTCATCAACTTCTTCGGCGTTAGAATTGATGCCCGTTTCTGTACTTTGGGTTATAGTTCAGAGAAAATATAGACTATTTAGTTTACAGATTTACAATCACTTGATTGAATTCCAATGTTTAGTAGTTTTTCAATGAATTTACAGTAATTTAAAGCGTCCGTCTGTTATGCTTTTATAAGTGATTTTCTGTTCTTCCGCCTCGGATTGAAAAGCGAAGAAGCTGTCTCGATTTCATTCTGTTTTTGGTTATTGCTAGTTTTTCGTTCCTTGGAGTCTTAAATTATTTTCACCTCTTTTAGCAAAATTTGTCGTTACTGCTCTTGCCCACGAGAAGACCACTGTATTATGACGTCAGTAAATGATAAAACACAGTTTACTACGAGGCTGGCAGTTGACTCACAAACGTATTACAGCCAGGGAAACGATGACGACAGTGGCTGTACTACCGAGGAGTATGCTTGGACACCTCCTGGACTTTCTCCCGAACTTGTAAGTGAAGCTAATTTTGCATGTCTTCTTCGCTACCTACTTGTTAATATTCGACAAGTGAATGATTTTACTGAAAGCTTTTAGAAAAACGTGCTTGATTTTCTTAAGATATACTTATACTTTTCACTTTGGTGCGCTGATCCTGCTGATATGTCAAACAAATATCCTAGATTATCTGGGTCTTGAAAGGAAAGTTCTATTTTTCCAGAAAATATGCAGATAACTTTTTTGATTCCAAAAGTATGAGGGTATGTTGAAGCATTTATTAAGCCTTAAAGACAATTTGAGAGCTGCGACTAAAACATGCAATATATACGAATAGTTTTTTTCCGCTTTTGTTCTTATTCTGCTTCCCTACACATTGATATCATTTGCAATTTACTATAATTATGGAAACCAAGTAAAGTTACTGTTCCATTTGTCTATACAGTGTATAGAAATTGTTTTGTAGGAACAGTGTATCCAATACCCAAAGTTTAGTGGGTATTTCCAGCTTGAATTGGTTGTCTTAACTACAAATATTCATTAGTCAAACTTGGCGAAATTGTTCTTTAGGTGCGACTATTCATGTCTCGGTTACCGGAAGAAAAAGTTCCATATGTAAATAGTGTCGGGGAGAAATATCGCGCGAGGCAACGGTTACGCCAGCTGCCGCCCCAAGACTCAGATTTCAAACACTGCCATGATATGTCAGAGGAGGAACGGAATGAGCTGAAGCTTTTCCAAGCACAGCGGATACGCGATGCATTAGGTCGTGGCACTGTTCGTGTCATCCCAGAAACAGTCGAAGGAATAACTGGCCTTTGTCAGCAGGTATCGCAAAAGTTTTTATATATCTATCTTTTAAATAGCTCAGGTTTTTATAGTTTTTTAATGGATCATTTTGTATTTAAAATTTTATGTATTTATTCTCGTATGTATTTAGTTGATGTAGTAGTTTTAACAGTTGGCTTGGATTAGCTCATTTCTTTGTAAATAGCTATGTAGCGCCAACTTTAAATAAATTGATTATTATTATTATTATTATTATTAGAAGTTTTAACCATTCTCGCTTCTCGTTTTTACGCAGTGTGGTAAGAGTATACCGCCTGGCGATGTTGCAGTATTTGCTTGGAAAGCTGGCCATGACTGCTGTTGGCACCCAGCATGTTTTTGCTGCACTGTGTGTAATGAGCTTCTTGTTGACCTTACGTATTTTTATCAAGATCGTCGTATATATTGTGGAAGAGATCATGCCGAGCTTTTGAAGCCTAGATGCTCAGCCTGCGACGAGGTACATACTTATTTCGATATTTTAAAGCTATTTTATGATAGCGATAACAGTATAAGGCTTTAATAACGTATATACTACACACTGTGCAAAGTTCTGGAAAAAAAGAAGAAATTCCACTAGCCTTGTTCTTAATACCCTTCAAGGAGGAATAGGAGATCGACTGTATTTTACGAATCTATGTACTTTTTTTTCTAAACATCCAGTTTTCGATGGGGGTTTCAATTGATTTTCTAAAAAGCAAAAATCATTATTATTCTACTCAAGTTGAAAATATTCATGTTTTCACACTGCTGGAAACACTGTTTTAGAAATACTTTACTTATTCTACCTGAACGACTGCAGAATTAGCTTAGCCAGAAAGAAACTTTGCTACCATAGTTGCATCCGAACTTATGAAATCCTGCTACAAAATAGATCATGAAAATGGCTAATATTCTTGCTCTAATCACACATTCTTTCAAGTGCACCCTCTCTTATACCTTTTTATGAATGTACAGGTTTCATTGTGAATTTTCTTGAAATTTTTATTTATGAAAAATAATTTACTGTAGTTATATTTTATACCGAAATCAACTATCGATTTGCCTCTTTTCTTATTTTCACCTGTCCTTTTTTATTTCTTTGTTTAGATAATATTCTCAGACGAGTGTACTGAAGCTGAAGGGCGCTTTTGGCACATGAAGCATTTTTGTTGTTACGAATGCAATGCACCACTCGGGGGTCAACGTTATGTCATGCGTGATGACAAGCCAGTATGCTGCCAATGCTTTGAAAAAATGTTTGCTGAATTTTGCGATGCATGTGGGGACCCAATAGGTAAGTATCTTTTGATGACTGTATCCTTACCTGTTGCAAAATGCAATAACGTTTCCAGGCCCGTTCATATGAGATGAGATACCACATTCACATGGGAAAAACTGAGATTTGTTTGTAAAACTGAAATATTGTTTTCGTGGGCAAAGGGCCTGCCCACCTAGGTGACAACCCACTTCTGAGCCGGTGGCATCTCACTCGGGTGGGATTGAAGTGTCTCCTATAAACATAATTTAGAATGTTTCAGGTACCTATTGTGGCAATTTTGGATGAAAAGATAGTAAAAAAGCTATAAAAATTGGTTGGCTCATGTTTTATGTGAGTTTAGTCCACACAATTTGGATGAAAAGTCTTCTACCATTTATATGAGTGAGATATCTACCATTTGTATGTTGGAATGAGATCGTTTTGCTGGGTTTTATCAAGTAACCAGTCTATATGAAGTGAGAACAAACAACCTTAAAAATGGCCTCATTTTAGCTTTGTTTGACCTTCTTGTTTGATACCTTAAATAATCTTGGTTAGATGAGTGGATTAGTTGTGCTGTGTAGGTGTTTTGCATCTACTTCAATAAGTTTACAACCTCTGACGTACATTTAAAGCAAAATTACAAAACCTGTCTCTGAAATTTAAAGCTTTTTAGCTTTTTAAACGATTCTGTACTTATTTGTCAAACGACCCAGTCAATTCTTTTAATCAACTAATCTGTTTGTATTCTTGTGCTCTGCTATTTTGTTAGCTTTACAGATGCATATGCTGTGAAGGAAAAGGAAATAGCGTCTCTAGAATTTTACTGTTCCAAGCTTAGATAATTTTGTCTCAAAAGTCTCGATTCATAAAAGTTTGTCTCAAAAGTTTAGACCTTCCTTGAAAGTAAATAATTTTTTTCAACAGGAATAGATACTGGGCAAATGGCTCACGGCAGTCAACACTGGCACGCCACCGACAAATGCTTCAGTTGTTACACATGTGGTGTTTGTTTGTTGGGGAAGCCTTTCTTACCAAAAAATGGTGAGATATTTTGCTCCTCCTCTTGTAGTCGCGGGAATCCCCCGAAAAGTAATGTGGTAGCCAAGTACCCGCCAAGGTCGCTTTGCAGAGGGAAGCCTGTTCCACGTTATGAAGATAAATCATCGGGTACCGAGGGATCTGCGTCTGTCACTCCAGTAGTCAGCCCTATCGTAATGCGAAAGCAACCAGAGTTACGTGCGAAATCAAGCAATCGAAGCTCGCTAGACAAATACGGACTAGCTGCTGTGGAGAAGATGTCGGAAGCAATGAATCGACAAGCAGGAACGAATGCAGCGCAAGATAGTGATCGTGACGACGTGAGCTCGAATGGTTCTAGGAAGGAGAAGGAACTGCCAAATTTTGGAGTTAGTCGCCAGGGCTCGAAGCCTGTGTTGCGTGTGAAACCATGTCATCGGCCGAGTCAGAATAAAATCACAGAAGAGGTTTGGATTGATATGGTACCTCCAAAGAAGATTACAACTCGAACTGAAAAAAATGACGGAAATTTGTCCGCCGACTCAACTATGCTTAGCGAATATTCAGATGCGGAAAAGTCAATTATATTAGAAAAATCGCTTAGTTTTTCTAAGTCCAGTAACTATTGTCAAGGACAACAAAGATCTAAGAAAAAAGGGCGTCGTAGAGGAGAAGATTCGTATTATTCTGACTACGAAGTTGAAAAGCAGAAGCGATCGCAAAATCGATCACGGTACATCCCCGAAATACCCCCTCCAGAAAGTATTTTATCACATGTGCCTCTCAAGCAAAACACGCACTCAAAATCAATGGAATGTTTAGACTCTAAAATGCGCGTAAAAGGACGCAGAGAACAGCGCTTAAAACAGACAAAAACAAAATCGGAAACTAACTTATCGTCGTGTGAAAAATCTCTGCGTGTTAAAAATGATGTCACAAACTTTTCTATAAATCCAACCTCGCCATTAAAATCTTCATTCAAAAAGATTGATATTGGACGCGGAAAATCAAGACTTAACCAAGATGAGGATGAATATTTCAGACAACCTCGTGTTCGTGGAATGTTTGGCTCGGATGTTAAACCAAAGCGAATTACATACGTAACGAGAGACGATATGGCTATAGGAGGCTCAAGCACGAGTAAAGATTCGCGTAAAGGGCGAAAAACGAGAAATAAGCAAGAAAGATGTGTCATTTCTTGAACTCAAATGCTGAAAATAGTAAGATATGTAGTGAAAAATAGAGATAATACTCGTTTTTCAAACTGTAATTTAAAAGACTTTGATTTCTTAAAAGAAATCTGTCGTTGTATTTGCTTCTTGTGCTTTCTAGGAAATGATGATTAGAATCAATGTGATATTTTTTTATTCGATTTCTGACTGGAATTCACTGTTATGATATTCTGAATCAATTTCAATACTGTCTGTGCAATTAAGAATGATTGAAAATTTTTTTAATGATTCATGAAATAACGTCGTCTGTTTCAAACTACTAGCACAACTTAAAGCAATACTCATACTTGGTTCGTTAATATTGATAAAAGAAAGATAAAAATATGGCTGTAGTTCTGGATCTAAAAAAGACCTTAAATGTGATGGACCATGACATACTTAAGTCAAAACTAATCCGAGGTTCTCATCGGTAGTTTTTTCCTGCCTAAAGCAGACAGAACAATACTGCAAAATAAAAAATGATGGTCAAAAATCGCGCCGCATTATTCAGTGTGGTATACCACAGGGATCGTGCCTCGAGCCACTGCTACTCATACTCTACGTAAACAATTTTGCCGATTATCAAGAAAGACCTACTGGTCTGAAACGAACAATACAAAAATCTAACATCCATCCACGATACTGTAATCATTAATAGAGCTGCATGTCTGAAACCAAAATAATCAATAGAGAGCCTGGTTAAACATTTTAGGTTGAAAGACGAATGGATGTAAACCGTTTGTTTTAGAGTGTTGTTTTAGACAGGTTTAGTTGCACGCAAGGTTGAGTTTCTTCAAGCTCAAACAACATCCAGTTTTACGAATTTCACTTTTTATTTCAATTTCACTGTTCATTGGCTCAATATTTTTACAATATTTTGGGGTCTACATTAACAAAGAAAAGAATTTCTTTTATTCGTAAGTTTGCTAAGTCATCCAATGTCTTTTAACCTTATTTGACTATCAATTTTTGGTTGTCACCTAGTAATGTTCTGCCTACCAAAACATTTAGGGATGGGGCATTGCCCTTGAGCATGGCTCTTCCTGTTACGTGTTACACCCTACTGTTACGTGGGCTCTGTCGTTTCATTTGATGGTTGAGGGTCGTGACATTCATAGTATTCGCAATGAACTTCTTTGCCTTTTGCAGATATGGCAAGCCAAGCAACTATTTCATAACTAAATTTAAATATTTTTTTATGAAGAGCAGATGTTTTGCAATTGTTTAAATAGGGCTCAACTGACTAGGTGACCTGAAAAATGTTTAAAACTGCAGGTCAACTCTTGTTTTCTTCCGATTCTGATTGTATGGTAATTAACAAAGCGATTTCAATTCAATAGTAAGGTACTGATAATGGAATTTGTTATTAATTTCAATCATCTGCCTAAGCGATTAAAAAAAACTTTTCAAAGATCTCAAGAAATTGAAGAGGTTTTTCAGCCATTTCTATGTCTTCAACTACTCCTTGCCCTTCCATTGAATTATCTTTCTTATGGTTGTTTACGATAATGTAAACCAGATTAAGGTTAGCTTTTTTATCACGAGGAGAAATCTTGGAAACATTCATTGGAAGTTGTTTTGGGTTGATTTTACGTGGAATTTCAAATCAAAACGCAGTATCCGTTTGAATGAAACTGGATCGAACGTCCCAAAGTGTCAGTGTGTGACCAGATCGCAATTTCGAAATTATGCTAAAGTGTCATCAAACTATGCCAGATTTTCAAAAATAATGCTAAATTTCAAATACAGGCTATCCTGTTTTAAAGAGAGGCTAGCGCATGCGTAAATCAAAAAGAGTGGCCAAAATGTGATTTTAAATAGAATAGTAAACTTTATCATAAAAAATGAATATAAACCGCTAAGAAAACCAATGCAATCAATTAATTATCAATTATGTGTATATGTAGTGATGTAAATGTAAAATATCGATGGCACATAATTTTTACTTACAGAGCTATTTCTGGCAATCAGCATTGCCAACTTAGATAGTAACCATTCAACCACCTCCAAGTAAAGACGTCACTCCAAGTACATGTTATGATAATGATACTCACATGGTCATAGCCACACATTCGGGTGTAATGTGTTTCCATGCAGTTACGATAGACAGCGGATCATTTGTGCTAGATTTAAGCTAGAATTATGCTAGATTTCAAGTTATGCCGCCAGGTTATGTGTTAAAGGGAGATTTGGCCGAAATGGTACTAAAACCATGATATTATGCTAGATCTGGTCACACTGCTAGTACTATATATCTAGTTTCCAAAGAGAAAGAGCATTGTACGTTGTACTTGATAAATTGTATTCAAAAGCGAATCCAAGTTTTGAGCTGTAGAAATATTTCCCTTCCCTTCCATTTTAGTGCAAAGCTAGTAAAAATAACAAATGATCGATAATATTGTCTCGTATGGCGTTGTTTATGACTATATTGTAACATAACTTTTTGCCTGGTGTTAGATGATTTCATATGCAAATTGCACTATTGGTCTCAAACTGGTTTATGTATTGTGTGCCGTTATTCCATGGCTTTTAACCTCAAAGGCCATGGCCTATATGATCAATTCTTGCTATCGATGGCTTTTTCATTTCGTGTAGCATTACAATTTTCATATGACGTTTCAAATTCCATATGACGTTTCAAATTTTCATCTGGCGTTTTAAATTTCATATGTGGTTAAGACAAAGGTTTGTGCAGACGCTGAGACAGCAAAATAATGCATTGTACTCCAAATCTTGGTGCTATAGTCTCTATTATTTAGTCCAAGAAGTATAGTTCGAAACTAGTCACTGAAATATTTTTTTGAGCTTTTGTCCCCGGATTCATGAGGCTCTTGTACCCAGGGTATCCAAATCTTAGTCATATTGATTCCTATTCTTTCCATTGACTACACGAAGAAAGTGATCTAACAGGATTACATCAGAGTAAGGTTTTAAAAAAACCACCCCTACAGCTTTTTTCGACCTGTAAAGCAAGTTGTGGATGATGTTTATAAGCCCCCTAGAATAGGCCCCCTAGAATAAGCCCCCTAGAATAAGCCACAATTTAAAAACTGCCCAAATCGATAAGCCCCCAGGAGGCAACTTCGAGGATTTGTTTCCATTTCCTAGCTTAGAATTTTTGTCTATGTTCTGACGTTTTATACTCTGAAAACTGTCAGATGCAGATCGTTATCATGTTTCAAAATGCTTCCCGAAGCCATCTTCAATTGACATGCTTACGAAATGCTAAAGGTAATATAGTTGGTGCAAAAATCGTTGAAAGATCTTTTTCTCGTACCGCCGATACCAGGTTACTGCGAGCCAGAAGACTGCGAGATTCCTCGCAAATGGATGGGTCCAGAAGCCCCGGAAGCTTCTTGACGCGGCGGATACAGGACTACAGGACTGGCAGAAAGGATCCTTGGAGTGTCAAAGTTTGCTGATGAAACAGATCGAGAATCGTCGTTTAGCCAATGATAAAGCCTGGCTGTAGTTGGAAGTCCTGTCAAATAGAGACGGGCAGTGTTCTGGGGGCGTAGCTCCTAGGGAAATTTTGCGTGGCTACGCCCTTAAGACTCTCGGAGGCAACACCCATAAAAATATATTTGAATCAAGACTACAGTCAAACTGCATTCTCGAGATTTCTTTCACCCCAACATCAACCATCAGGGGAGGCTGGACCCAATCCTACTTAACATTAGAACAGAATTTACATGGCTTGATATAACTTTCGGATATATCTACTTTGAACTTACAATTTTTTTCTTTTTTAATTTAAAGTTGGTAGAATCTGCATTCAAGCTAAATAAAACCAACTAATTTATATTACCAACGCTACGCTAAATATAATTAAAATCAGATATAACTGATGTTGCATACGTACTTCTTGTAAAGATCACAAGTATTGAACGATGAAAATTAAAAAAAATTTTCTTTAGTTTTTATAAATTGGTAATTGTACTTATTTCGTTTGGAACTGAGTTCCATATTTGGCTCAATCTGTTTGACAAAGATCTTGAGAGCAGAAGGAAGCATATCATTCTATTATTGTTAAAAAAGCTGTTACATAAAACCTGTGTTGTGTATAGTGCCACCGAGAGGGTTCGGAGTCCTTGCGGTAGAATCGAAAGAGGAGGCCTTTTGGGAGCGAAGCGAGCAGAAAAATTTTGGCGACCATGCCCTTTAAAAATGCATTTCAGAGTTTTTTGCAGTCATTTTCTTGCAATCATTTAAAAAGCTGTGAAACTTTGTTATGTCTTAAAAATTGCTTTCTCGATCTATAAACCTCGAGGGCCCCCAAAACCTCAAGGTCCAAAGCCAATTTTCCATCGACACTACCGCGGCCACCACCTTTCGGTAACCCTTGCTGTCAGCTTGTTTTTTGGTGTTTTTGAAAACAGATCGAAAAGAAACATTTAGATCATCGCCACGTTAATTACTGCTTCAGCTGATTATAAGGGCACATTTTTGTTTCCATGCTCACCTTCATGTCCAACTCACTTTCATTCGATCAGTCGCAACGAGACGCGATATTGTTTGGCAGGACACGAGAAAGATGCTGCTGATAACTTTTGCAAAATACTGACAACGGATCCGATTCGGAAGTATGTAACAACAACAACAGCAATAGCAAATATTATTAGTGCAACGATATTCCTCACATTTAATGTTATGGTTGCTTTCTCAAGTTGTTATTATGACTGTCAAGTTGAGATAAGCTTTTATTTCGTCGTTCACAAAATTACTTAAAAGTAAAAACTACCGACTCAGGCTTCAAAACTTAAAATCTGCCGAGTTAACCGAATGTATCTAAATCATGGGGGGGTTCCCGGTTCGTTGAGGACCCTGCTTCATCGAACACAGGTGTCTTGATAGCGGATGGGTGTAGGGGGTGTGACGTCATAAATTTGTCGGAAAATCTTCAGCTGGTCAAAAAAAATTCTACGTTTGGACGATAAAATTGTCCATTGATAGGTAAAGTGATACCTAAAATTTTCTTGATCTTTTACTTTGTCAGTGAATTTCAATATTGATTGACGATCGAACATCATAGGCAGGGGCGGACTGGCTATTTATTTTGGCCCAGGCAAATTTTGATCAAACGGCTCACAATAATAGCAAATAAAAAACTCCTCGGAAAATACAAGTAACTGTTAGTCTGCAAGGGAAAC